TAGAATTACAGCTAATGTCTAAAGTGTTCCGAAACATACTAGTGTACATATATAGAATTACATATGTACAGCTAATGTCTAAGGTGTTCCGAAACATATTAATGTACATATATAGAATTACAGCTAATGTCTAAAGTGTTCCGAAACATACTAATGTACATATATAGAATTACAGCTAATGTCTTAAGTGTTCCGAAACATACTAGTGTACTTATATAGAATTACAGCTAATGTGTAAAGTGTTCCGAAACAGGCTAGTGTACATATTACAACTAAAGGGAAGGATTAACAGATATTTCAACATTAAATAACTTTTTCTTCTTTATCTTACAAGCATGCTTAATTTGTTGCACTTTGTATCTATATTAAACTATACAGATGCAATCACATGTGTATCACTTCTGTTCATCCTCCAGGGAAGAAGCAGTTTGAATACTGAATAGAAACACCATTTTGTTTGTATATATCTGTTAAATGCTGTTTATAAGGTCGATGTTTTTAGCTTTGGGCAGTAAACTTGTGCTTGTTTTTTTATCGATAACTTAGTCACCAGCCACGGTTACAAATGCCTTGACCTACATTTGTACATCAAGGAAATTGACAACTTTTATCGATCACCTATTAAAGGGTAGCACACATTCCGGATAGCGAATGAAACCTTAGCCCAGTCGACAGGACAGATGGAACGATTACGACAATTATATAAAATTGGTGGTAATTATATTTATATCATTACGTAAATTAAGACAATATTGCCGTAATCAACAGTCACAACACCTAATGTAAACGACCTTTTACATTAAATCATTAACCGGCACTGATTAATCAGGTCAGATTATTTAATGACGATCAAATGATGCATTTGATGTGTTTGTACTATAATATTTGGCCTTTATTAACGAGAGTTAATATTCTGTACTGTAGCCGACTCGTATGTGGTTTACGCAGCACATCAACTAAAACAACGGATAATGATAATTAAATGTCACCAATAGTTGTTAGAATTCAATATTTTTCTCAAAATCATACTAAATGAATTGCATCCCAAGGTGAAAGTTGACTAGACTTATGCGATAACAGAAGAAATCCAAAAGTATTAAAATACTAAGAGTTTATGATTTACAAATGAAAAACAGACGCATTTCTGTCAGCTGTAAAGGTGATAAACTACAGATAGCGATGGTGTGTCTGTCCGACATACTGCGGAAACCATACTTCGTCAGTCGTCATTCCCCCGGGTTGTGGAAAGTTTATTCACAGAACATTACACATTCCTGCTAACGCTGCTAAACACTGTCGGAAATTGATAAGTTAATTGGTTACTACAAATTTTAGGATTGCATTATTAATAATCTTTTAATGAGATGACAGAAATCTATCAAGAAATTAGTAATTGCAAAAAACAAAATTGTGAAGAATACGTTATAGTACACAAATATAATTGTAATTAAACATACAAAAAAAATGTCTTGGTTAATTAAGGTTGTATGTGCTAATCCATTTTAGTGTTTATATTCTACTAGAAAAAAAGTCTAATGTTGATCTGTGGATAACTGAATTGACAATCTTGATTACCGATGTACCTACACAAAGACCTAAAAAAGTTCCGGGTGGGTAAGCATACCCATCACCATATGCTTACCACCAAGATATGTTCTGTCAAATCTAGGACAATGTATAGGTCATCAGTGACTTGGATATACAGTTTTGTAAAGAAATGATCGATCTTTCCGAAAGACTTATTATTAGATATATTCCTTACAACAACAACAAGATAACCAATCTACAGCGGAAAGCCTGATATTATTTTTGTCTTTTCACAGAAAAACGTTGAACGCGAGCTAGTAAATATATCAAGTTAGTACCGTCTTCCTCATCCCTTACACGCGCACGGAGTTTATGTTATTGGCGTGCGCCCGAGAGTGCGCGTGTGTTTACAGTAATTCTTCATTTTTATGTTTCAACATATATACTTATCTTCGTTACAGCACCACATTTCTCTTTGAAGTAGAAGTTGCATAGATTTTGCAATCATGAGCTCAAATTGAGGTAAAAGTGCTAAGCATTAACAAAACCTGGAAATATGATAGGCATATCATTGACAAGGAGCCAGCTGATTGATGCTCTATAAGATTTAAGTGGCGCTTTGTGGAGTTTTACCGCCTGTGAGGGCGCGAAGAGGACGATCGGTCAATAATCGATAGACATATATAATATGAAAGCTTATAGATATTGAACGAGCGCCTAGCAGTGGAAGCAGTCAGCTGGCTGACATCGGAGTGGTGTCGTGCCCTTCACTTTCATTTCGGTATTCTAACAACTTATTAGTTTCTTATTACCAATACTGAGTTCATGCTACAGTAATATTGGGAGTAGGTGATTGTTTAGCCAGACCAGGGACAATGAACACCTCTACTGGGACGGTACCTGTAGGGTGGACTACAGACAGGGCTTTGGTCACACTGGTACTGGTCACTGACAACAAGTCCGCTTACACTTCCAACAACACGGAGAGGTACTTTCCTGTCCTACAACATGCCACGCCTATCATCGTCGTCTATACTATGGCCTACCTTCTCGTTTTTCTTTTTGCTTTCTTTGGAAACTTAATCGTCGTCATTGTCATATGGAGGAACCGCTGGCTTCACACGGTTACAAACTTTTTTATTGTCAATCTAGCCGTGGCGGACATTCTAGTAGCCATCTTTTGCGTACCCATAACTTTACTGACCAACATTTACACAGGTAAGTGACTAAAACCTGTACCAGCTGTTTGATTAATTATGCATACATGATATGACTTATACTATAGATTTTCTCATTATAAAGACTGTATCTTGTGTTTTATGATATTGATTGGTTTATTATAAATACCGTACGGAATGCTTTATTATATTAACTGGCTGATAATACATATAGCACCATTTGATGGGTTATAAACAGTCAAGTGTCCATGAATCAACACGAAAAGAACAATCAGAAAACACAAAGCAAGTAACGCTTCTTTACTAGCAGGTTATATTACACACCTAGAACATACCATTTTACTAGCAGGCTATATTACACACCTAGAACATACCACTTTACTAGCAGGCTATATTAAACACCTAGAACATACCACTTTACTAGCAGGTTATATTAAACACCTAGAACATAACACTTTACAAGCAGGTTATATTACACACCTAGAACATACCACTTTACTAGCAGGTTATATTATACACCTAGAAACTAACAATTTACTAGCAGGTTATATTACACACCTAGAACATAACACTTTACAAGCAGGTTATATTACACACCTAGAACATAACACTTTACTAGCAAGTTATATTACACACCTAGAACATACCACTTTACTAGCAGGTTATATTACACACCTAGAACATAACACTTTACTAGCAGGTTATATTACACACCTAGAACATACCACTTTACTAGCAGGCTATATTACACACCTAGAACATGAACCGTTACTAGCAGGTTATATTACACACCTAGAACATACCACTTTATTAGCAGGTTATATTACACACCTAGAACATAACACTTTACTAGCAGATTATATTACACACCTAGAACATACCACTTTACTAGCAGGCTATATTACACACCTAGAACATACCACTTTACAAGCAGGTTATATTTCACACCTAGAACATAACACTTTACTAGCAAGTTATATTACACACCTATAACATACCACTTTACTAGCAGGTTATATTTCACACCTAGAACATAACACTTTACTAGCAATTTATATTACACACCTAGAACATACCACTTTACAAGCAGGTTATATTACACACCTAGAACATACATGTAACACTTTACTAGCAGGTTATATTACACAACTAGAACATACCACTTTACTAGCAGGTTATATTTCACACCTAGAACATAACACTTTACTAGCAGGCTATATTACACACCTAGAACATACCACTTTACTAGCAGGCTATATTACACACCTAGAACATACCACTTTACTAGCAGGGTATATTACACACCTAGAACATAACACTTTACTAGCAAGTTATATTACACACCTATAACATACCACTTTACTAGCAGGTTATATTTCACACCTGGAACATAACACTTTACGAGCAGGTTATATTACACACCTAGAACATAAGACTTTACTAGCAATTTATATTACACACCTAGAACATACCACTTTACTAGCAGGCTATATTACACACCTAGAACATACCACTTTACTAGCAGGCTATATTACACACCTAGAACATACCACTTTACAAGCAGGTTATATTTCACACCTAGAACATAACACTTTACTAGCAGATTATATTACACACCTAGAACATACCACTTTACGAGCAGGTTATATTACACACCTAGAACATAAGACTTTACTAGCAATTTATATTACACACCTAGAACATACCACTTTACTAGCAGGCTATATTACACACCTAGAACATACCACTTTACTAGCAGGCTATATTACACACCTAGAACATAACACTTTACTAGCAGGCTATATTACACACCTAGAACATACCACTTTACTAGCATGTTATATTACACACCTAGAAGATAACACTTTACTAGCAGGTTATATTACACAACTAGAACATACCACTTTACTAGCAGGTTATATTACACACCTAGACCATAACACTTTACAAGCAGGTTATATTACACACCTAGAACATAACACTTTACTAGCAGGTTATATTACACACCTAGAACATACATGTAACACTTTACTAGCAGGTTATATTACACATCTTGAACATAAGACGTTACGCCTAAAAGAACCACTACACCTTATAAGTAACACTACGCACCTAAATAACAACACTTCACACCCTACAAATAACACTTCACACCCTACAAATAACACTACACACCCTACAAATAGCCATTCACACCTTGATAACAACACTGCACATTTTAATAACAACACTACACACCTTATTAACAACACTACACACCTAGTACTACAAGTAGTACTGCATACCTAACAATTACCACTACACACCTAACAAGTAGTACTACACACCTAACAATTACCACTACACACCTAACAAGTAGTACTACACACCTAACAATTACCACTACACACCTAACAAGTAGTACTACATACCTAACAATTACCACTACACACCTAGTACTACAAGTAGTACTAAAGACCTAACAATTACCACTACACACCTAGTACTACAAGTAGTACTACATACCTAACAATTACCCCTACACACCTAACAAGTAGTACTGCACACCTAACAATTCCCACTACACACCTTACAAGTAGTACTTCACACCTAACAATAACCACTACACACCTAACAAGTAGTACTACACACCTAACAATTACCACTCCACACCTAACAAGTAGTACTACATACCTAACAATTACCACTATATACCTTACAAGTACCACTAAATACCTACGTATGTAACAATCACCACTACACACCTAACAAGTAGTACTACACACCTTACAAATACCTATTCACACTTTTCAAGTTGCACTAACTTTCTAGCAAGCAATACTTTACAACTAGCAAGTAATAAGGGCATAGCGTATCAAACAGTACACGACCTATTCCTATCCTCGAATGCTTAAATATATACACAAAGTGGTCAGAAAGCAGGAAAACAAATATATCAAATACTTTTTTAAATAAGTGGATTGGAATGATAAACTCGCATATTGTTAATTACATGTTTAAGTAAAACAATATATAACTTCCTTATAAAAACGGTTATTAGATGTCCAAACTGAAGATTCAGGCCGATATATGGTTCCTATTGAATATGTACTCATTTTTCTTCCAGTCATGGATGACATTACTGTAAAATATTTTATAAGAAATGTGTAATGTGACGAATTATTCCTCCAAATTGTTATTCTTTTTATTTCATTTCATCTTCTGCATCATCGATATTGTAAATGCAATTTTATTTTGATTATTTGTAGAAAACATAATAAACCATATTATAAAGTGTGGGTGTGGTTGAAAGTGGGTATGACAAGCAAAACACTAACAACCTAAACCTTACTGAAACGTTGTCCCAACTAATAGCTAATCCCTTTTAGGCCACTTTTGGTTCTAATATTTTTGAAGTGATAAGTTTCTCAATGAACCGAATAATTTAATCGGCACAATTTAGAAAGAAAATAAATCAACAGATATTCGTGGAAGTCAACTTAGTCAACAAAATGGATATTATTTTTTGTATTAAACAAAAATGTGAAAATATAATGTTAAAATCCCTGTTGTGAAAATAATCGACTTTGACACGGATTTTGAGAACAACGCTCGCTGTCCTTAAAACGATTTTATCTCATTTCTTGTTGTTTAAAAAGTAAAGGCGGAGCTTTAATGTGGTGGTAACTAATAGACCTGAAAGCGATTGTGACGCTGGGAAGTTAGTGCTCTATCAACATCCCTGTATTGCCAATAAAGACATAACCATAAGGTTTTAAGAGCCACTGCAATATGTTTGTAATAATACCTCATAAATTCTATAGTTTAATATCTGTTTTTCGAACCTCACAACTGAATAATGTCCTTGCTGTTATTCGATTCAGAGATCTCGGTTATCACCAGGAGGCGCTATTCTCGGCGGACACAAGTAAAGTTTAACTAAACTAACCTTTTTTCGAAATGAGAACAGTACGAAGTAAACGAGAAAATGAGAACAGTACGAAGTAAACGAGAAATGAGAACAGTACGAAGTAAACGAGAAATGAGAACAGTACGAAGTAAACGAGAAATGAGAACAGTACGATGTAAACGAGAAATGAGAACAGTACGATGTTAACGAGAAAATGAGAACAGTACGATGTAAACGAGAAATGAGAACAGTACGATGTAAACGAGAAAATGAGAACAGTACGAAGTAAAAGGGAAATGAGAACAGTACGATGTAAACGAGAAATAAGAACAGTACGATGTAAACGAGAAATAAGAACAGTATGATGTAAACGAGAAATGAGAACAGTACGATGTAAACGAGAAATGAGAACAGTACGAAGTAAACGAGAAAATGAGAACAGTACGAAATAACGAGAAATGAGAACAGTAGGAAGTAAACGAGAAATGAGAACAGTACGATGTAAACGAGAAATGAGAACAGTACGATGTAAACGAGAAAAATGAGAACAGTAAGATGTAAACGAGAAAATGAGAACAGTACGAAGTAAAAGGGAAATGAGAACAGTACGATGTAAACGAGAAATGAGAACAGTACGAAGTAAACGAGAAATGAGAACAGCAAGATGTAAACGAGAAAATGAGAACAGTACGAAGTAAAAGGGAAATGAGAACAGTACGATGTAAACGAGAAAATGAGAACAGTAAGATGTAAACGAGAAAATGAGAACAGTACGAAGTAAACGAGAAATGAGAACAGTACGAAGTAAACGAGAAAATGAGAACAGTACGAAGTAAACGAGAAAATGAGAAGAAACGGCATTATTTGATCACCGGAATCTCTGTATTTTCATAAAGTAGAGCTACTTAATTAGCGCCTAAGATCAAATGCCATTTTCCATTCATATCTAAACCCTTGTTCGCAGTCTGTTTACAAACCAAATTCTTAACAACTGAAATTATTCCGTCTACTGACATGACGCGGGTGCATCCAAACTTCATATACATAAATGAAATCCCGATTTTTAAATAGCCTGTTTCCTTAAAAACAAAAGGGTTTCATTCAATAACGTATAAATAATCCTACCCAGTTGTTTGTCAATCTCGGTATCA